GATGGGAAGGGGGAAGAGGAAAGGGTAGCACAGATTGAGGCCCCCATGGTTAGGAAGGAGTCGGGCAGGGGCTGGGGCAGGGGCATGAGCAGGGGCTGGGGTGAATGAAGTCCCAGGACTGGGATGAGTTGTGGGACTGAGTTGTGGGTGGCTCGTCCAGGATTGGAGTGCGGGAGGGGGGTTCCCGCTGCTGCACACACCCCCAGGGGAGCCATGGGGCACATGTGCCCCCCGGATTTGTGGGCTGGGGCTCTGTGCCCTGCTATCTTTGCCCCAGGAGCCATGTGCTGGCCGTGCCATGCATCCCCTGTGTGCCTGGTAGTGGGAGGCATAGTATGGCATCGCATGGCTCCTGGGGCAAAGGCAGCAAATTACAGTGGTAATTACAGCTCATTGGAGCAGCCTTGATGCACATGTATAGGCACCCTATGAAACATAAATAACTGCAAAATTCTGAAATATTTCATGGTGTCTTTTCTTTCCAGTTTTGGATAGTTCTATTTTAAACTGTTATGTAGATTTTATGTAATTGACAAAATGGTCATATCTCTTCAAACAATGAGTGTTACTTCATGTCTACTTTAAGTAGACACATAGCCCAGTAGCCAGAATATTTACTGTGCAGTATCTTGGAACTTAGTTCCAGATCTAAAGCACAGAGTGGTAAAAAACAATGCATGTGCAAGGGGACTAAGCACCTTCCTTGTTAAAGTCTTTGTATTTCCAACTTGAATTTCTCATGAATTTCTGCTGTTTTATGATATGCGTGATTGAAAATTATTACCATGAGTATTTTTCCCCCTTTCTCTCTCTCTTAAGTGCTAGCACTTTTTTTCAAGTGCACAAACAGACCACAAATCAGTTGCTTCAGCAGTCTGCTTACAGAAGATAATTCTGGTAGTTTGTCTCAGGTAGTTTGGATTTCTGTCAAAATCACTTTATATCAGAATCCAAAAGAAAAACTATTGTAGAAAACTGTATAACTGGAAACCCTGTTTGTTTAAAATTGAATGCTAAAGACCCTGATGTACAACAGAAAACAAAATCTCTTTCATGTGACAATTTCCATGCTGGAGAGAAATTCTCTACTTCTTTTTAATGTATATATGATCAGTAAAAAAAAATAAAATTATTTGTTTACCAAGCAGAAAATGCAATGCTAATGAAGCAATTTTTTTCATAGTTCTTGGGAGGCATGGTAATTTGACATTTGCTATCCTCAGCAGTTAAAGTTTCTACAGTAATTGTGATGTTCCCCATACTAAGCATAGGGGAATACTGCAAATGCCAAGTAAAGGATAAATGCTTCTTCATAGTGGGTGCATCTACATGAGACAGTTAGTGTGGAATTGCCTAATTAGCTCCAGAGTAAAGTGTCACTGGTCTACACTTGCAGAGCTATTAGTCCAGAGTAAATGAATTAACTATGCCATAGGTTAGATACAAGTACTATCCTACTTGTTTGATACAAGTACTATCCTACAGCGGAGTTATTCACTCCACTGCAATGCATGTGTAGATGCTGATGGGGCTGGCTGGGGAATGAGGGCTGCCTGCTTTATACCCCCTCCACAGCACCTTGAGCTGGGTCAGAGGAGCCTCAGGCTAGCTGCCCTGACCCACTACACTGCATTCCTGGGTGCACATTCAAATGCAGTTCCTGGGAGCAATAAACTCCAGTGTGAACTGCACTGCAGTTTATATAATTGTCTTAATAGCATGTGCAGATGTGCCCAGTATATACCAAATTTTTTTGGAGGTGTCCGTGCATAGGAATATATATATATTACTATATATATATATATATATATAT